GACTGGGATAAGCACGCTTAACCATAGCATGGAGAAAGCAGTGATACCTACCTCACTGAATGGCACAGAGCAAATGAAACAACATGTACAAACCATTTAAACAGCACCTAGTACATAATAAATCATTTTTTTCATGTAAAACAGATCATTTAATAAAAGTCAATAAAACACAACATTTATTACAGTGCATGCACATTAGGACAATTACAATCATCTTGAAAATGATTTAATAGTATATATTAAAGCTAAACATATGCATAGATCACAGCCGAACAATTACATTTCCAGGTATATATTTCCCTCAGTGTATAGATAGCAATCATCTATCATTGCATAACAAATTCAGATATGGAAATCTGTCTAAAATTTAGCAAAGTGACATACTGTAATCATTGGGCAGTGGAATGTGCTTCTACATCCTCTGCTCTGTAGAGGCTGTTACTACTTTTATTAACCAATCTCAAAAGCTGAAATTATTTATCATGCAATGCAGTCCTAAGATTTTTTTCAAGAATAAACAAATTGCTAACTATGTATACCATCATGGTTTTTCCTATTGCAGATAATCAGAGATAGATTTATGTGATATTTGGGGTTGAGCCCAGGAACTCACACATGTTCTACCATTGACCTACATCCCTAGACTGAAAAAATTTTAAATTTTGAGACAGGGTGCTGCCAAATTGCCCAGTCTGGCCTCAAACTCTCAATCCACCTGCCTCAGCCTCCTGAGTAGCTAGGATTGCAGGGTGTGCTACCTTGCCCTTGATATAGATATAATATAACATTTCTCAACTATTCTATTGCAATTTTCTCATTGACTTTCTTCTTTCCTTTTCTTTTTTGGTTTTACTTTCTTGTCAGAACAGCTACATTGTGCAACAAAATTTACTTCCAAACCTGTTAAATAATATATCGGATTAGAGGTACATTTGTTACACAAACATGAATGGAGAAGATATTAAAATGAACATATAAGCATTAAAGACTCTTCTTTTGAACCTGAAGCCATTTATTAATGTCTCACCATAACTTATGCAAGCTTCTCAATTCTGCTTCTATTTCAATTTCAAGAGTCTAAGTATTGAAAATGGAGCTGAGATTATGGTAGTTTAATGCTAGCAAGTCACTTGGGGATGAGATAATACCAAAGACAGGCTTGGCAAATAGAAACCCATCAGAGGGTGTTATTCTTTTCCTCCTCAGGCCTATTGGAGAAAAATACAAAAACCCTTATGTCCTGAGAGCCCTAGAGAATCAGATGCCTCATGGTTATGGACGTCACTGTGAACACATGGGGGCTGCAAACACTGAGAGCAGAGTGAGCTCTTCTGTGCTCCATTATGGGCATTGAAAAGTCTAATCTATTGGCCAGAATTATTTATTTTCTCTCAAATGGCATTTTGCTAGGCAATTTTAGCTATGGATATTCATAAAGAACCTTCAGTATCATTGTCTAATAGAGGAAATGACTAAAAGTGGAATAAAGAAAAAAATACCTGGTTGATACATAAATAAAGAAACCATGACGACCTTGTGATCATTTAAAAATAGTACACACAGAATTGCCGTCTGCATTGTGATATGGAAGTCTAAGATGTTTCCAGAAAAGCATTTGGAAAGAAATAGCTGTCTCAGTAGGTAAAGTTGGCTCTGCCGTTCAGATTAGGCTAAGTGGAAGGGAGATGGGTTCTAGAAAATTTCATGGATTCTGTTAGGGAAAAACCCCACTGGGGCCAATCCCATCAGCCTTCTGTAGCATTTTTGGTGCTTTGAAAGGGCTCTGCTCACAGTCATCACTGATATTACTAGGACAATGGAGAGACTGCCAGAAAATGAACTCTGTTCTCCTTACTCTTGACCCTCAAAACAGTTGTTAAACCACATTTTCTTCAAAACAGTTACTTGAAAGCCACTTTTGTACTCTCAGGCCAAGTGAAGAGTAAAATTGTTCTTTGGCCTCTATAAGAGATTGGTTCCAGGACCCCTGTGAATGCTATTATCTGTGAATGCACAAATTCCTTACATAAAATGTAATCTCTGCATGTAACTTATGCAATCCTCCTGTAGATGTTAAATCATCTCTAGATTACTTGTAAAACCCTAATACAATGCAAATGTCATGTAAATAGTTGTATAGTATTGTTTAGAAAAAAAATCTGTACATGCTCTAGACTGATGTATTTATTTTAAAAAATACTTTCCATCCTTGCTTAGTTAAATCTGTTGACTGGGAATCTGTAAATATGGAAGGTCAGCTGTATATATTATAAAATATTGTTTACATGGTTCTTATATCACATTGAATAAGTGCTCTGACTTATGATGCATAATCACCATTTCTTGAGCTTTAGAGAGACTATATCTTCCCAAAATGTACACTGATGTACCTGGGATCCAGGTGCATTCTAATTCAAGAAAGAAATATTATTTTCGAGAGAGGGATATATATATAACTTAACTTGGAATTTGGACAAGAAAAAATTCAGGTCATTGATTATCAATTTACATTTTATTACAGTTCATTAGGTCTTTAGCTATCTCAAGGGATATATAAAAATTCTGCATAATATCTCAAAACAAAACTAATTCTAATTATTTTTTAAAAATTATAGGGCCCCTATAGGGAGGAACTACTATGAGCATTGCATATTTTAAGTCATATATGTAAACTTCTAAATATCCCCAGGAAGTAAGACTCATTCTAATTCCAATTTTACAAAAGAGGAAATGAAGACAAGAGAGACTAGAGAACTTGAGCAATATCATATAGCTAAAAATGGGAGATGTAGGGCATGAATCCAGCCAGTCTGTCCTCTGGGGATGTGGTGTATGGCTTTCAGCAACATCTGTCCGTGCAGTGAACTGTCCTCCGTGTGCAGCTCCTTCTCTCGCGCTGGACACGGGGCGGGGGGACATCTGTCTGGTTGCTCAGTACCAGATATCTTAAGGCTGATGCTTCATTGCCATCTTGTCCCCGTCACAGCTGCCAGGATGTAGGAGCTTCATGGATTATCACACCACTTTGGTATCCTTATTTATTTTTTAAAATGTTACAATTTTATTGAGATATAATTCACATAACATACAATGCACTCATTTAAAGTGTACAACTCAATGGCTTTTAATTTACTCACACAGTTGTATAACCATCACCATCACCAGTTTTAAAACATTTTCATCACCCTCCCAAAAGCCCTGTACCCATTAGCAGTCACATCCTGTTATCTCCTTCCAACAACTCCTGATAAGCACAAGTCCGTTTTCTGTCTCTATGGATTTTCCTATTATGAACATTTCGTATAAATAGAATCATACAAATATGTGATTTTTTTGTGTCTGGTTTCTTTTACTTAGCATGATGTTTTCAAGCTTCATCTATAATATAGCATGTATTAATACTTCATTTCTTTTTATTGTTGAATTACATTCCATTTTCTGATATTACCACATTTTATTTATCCATTAATCACATGCTAGAATGTTTCCACTTTTGGTCATTATGAATAATGCTGCCATGAATGTTTCAAGTTTTCCTGTGGGCATGTTTTAATTTCTCAGATATATACTAAGTAGTGGAACTTCTGTGTCTATCTTTAACCTTTCTGAGGAATTGCCAGACTGTTTTCCTCTTTGCTTATTGATAGTAAGAAGTTCTTACCAGTTTTTGAAAAAGTGACTTTTCTTCTCTGTAGAGGCACCTTGACATTGCAAAGCAAGGAAAACAGCTGCTGTCTTCAGCAAATACTCAATATCTGTTTGGCTATAAATAGCTACTTCCAGTAACAGAAACCAAATGGAGAGTTTAGAGTACCTCAAGCAACTGCTTCATTTCTTTTTAATATTGTCTTTTTAGTGAGTAGATATAAAAAATTTAATAAATAGTGTTAACAATTATATTTACTTCTGTTAAAAACTGTCAGTGTTCTAAGAAGTTTGTGAGGTACATTACGTACATTTCATCATTCAATTTTAGAGCCCTTAAAATGTTTTAGAATCTTTGCATTCTTAAGGGTAAGTTTTAAAAAGTTACAAGAAAGACAGCTATAATTTCATCTGTACTGATTACTAGGTAGGAGGAAAAAAGATTTAGCTTAAAGTTAGAAAAATTAAAATTAAAAATGAACTCCCTTATATACAAAACTATTCAGAAGAAATTTAGATGGGTCAAAGATAACTCCATTGAGGGTATTATTAGGAAACAGAAGAGATCACTGTTGTCATTTTTTGTGGGTTTGTGTACACATACTATTTTAGAATTTACATTTTCCATAGGTACACAGACTTTGTTGCCAAATAAAATGTTACAGAGGCTGGTAAAGAGTAACAGAAAAGAGAAATAAAGAACTATTCTAATGTAATATTTTTATTGGCTTTTGTTAAAGTATTTTCCTGTTGCAAAGTACCAATCTGTTGTCGAGTATGAAAATTCATTTGAATGTTTCTCTACCATGACCCATGTCAGAGACGATTAAGTAGACACAGAGTCAAATAAAATAAGAAACAAACCTTATGTCATTTTTGTTTATGATATGGTTAAAGTAATAATGAGTATATTTATATTCATTATAATAAATGATGGCCAAAAAGTCATTGTCTGCAAAGATTAGTAATAATATGAATGGTATTGGTATTTCTAGTATAATAACTATATGTCAGGGAATGTACAAGTAGGCTTCTACCTGGAAATAAAAAAACCCAACTGATCAATTTGCTGTGGAGTATATTAGGTAAGAAAAAAATAAGTGTCTAACTGTGAAATACATTAGGTTGATTCATATTTTGTGTACAGTTGGCTTGATTTCTCTTTAGGATTAAAATTCTGAATGTACAACTATGAAAATTTGGAAACATTATTGTTTTCAATGAACTCTAACTTGCACGTAGAACTGTAGGCCATGGGAAGAATCCCTATTGTACATTCTGCTTTAGTCCTTAAAATTGAGTTATCAGTTGCTTGTAGTCATTTTCATTCTTTGGAAAAGATGAGGCTTTTCCATTTAGCAACCAATCCAGGAACTAGATTTCACCACACTGACCACGTCTTCCTTTTCTATATCATACTTGTATGTTTTTGGTCCTGAAAAGAAGTAAATGTAGCCTAAAAGAGACAAAGTTGAAATTGTGGTTACTAACAATGACTTGGGGAGGATTTATAATTACAACTTTTTTGAGGTGGCACCAATGTGGAGTTGGGAATTTGTCAAGTGGCAGTTAGCCTGTCTTCCACATAGTTCCTCCATGCCCTAGAATTCAGCACCTCTAATTTTGCAGCCATTTCTCACCTTTCTCTTTTGTTCCAGCCAGACTAAGGTCTTCACTATGGGATCACCCAACAAGCCATCCTCACTTATGCTTTGTAGTTCTTGTCATGCTATTCTCTTTAAAGAAGCCATCTCTCCTGTTCTTTCCCTGGTGAAATCTCCACCCAATGCTCAAAACTGGATAACATGTCATGAAATCTTCACCTACTGCTGTTAAGACTAATCTTTTCTTTCTCAGACCATCTCTTGCAGTTATCATGACATTTCCTGTACAATTCCATGATCAATTTGCTGACTTATATATTATCATGTTTTCCACTAATTTTACCTGTTTTGGGTGGCTGCACATTTCCCCAAGAAGTTCACCATTCCATGACAGCAGAGGCCATGTCTGGACCTGTCTTTGTGTTTCTGAACAGTGTCCAGCTATATGCTATATACTCAAGAAGAACATGTTGACTGACTCATTCTGAAGATTCAATTAAATTTATCCAACTCAGTTTAATTTTACTTTCCTAACTATGTGTTGAGTTTTAAGAGTTTGGTGATAGGAAAAAGGCACTGGGAAGGTTGAGATGATGTCTATCTCATTTTATTTTCTCCCCACAATCTCAAGACTATTTTTAAAAGATGAAGAAGCTTATTGATATATTGTGTGGGCTTATTCTTATATTGTGTGGGCTTTGTGATCTAGCTGACTAATGGAAGGAAGCTGAACTTTTATTTTTCCTTTTTGGTACTTGGGATTGAATCCAGGGTCTTTACATTGGGCTAGACCCCAGCTTTTTTTTTTTTTTTTTGAGACAGGGTTTTGCTTGTCCAAGCTGGGCATGAATTTGGCAATCCTCCTGCCCCAGCTTCCCATAATGCTGGGTTTACAGGCATGCACCACCACTCCCAGCTTGTATTTTTAAAACTTTCTACCAGAAAAGAGAGAAACATAATGGCAGACCTTTTATAATTCCTCTTTCTAGTAATTAATCTAGTTAGCGAAACTTATAAGAGGGTCCAGAGCCAAATATAAGAAATACTGACTCCCACTTGGAAATATATTTTGTTGTGTTAAAGCAAAGCCCAAATTTTGTTAAAATTTCCACAAAGAAAACTTTTGGTGGAAACACTCACCATTTAATTCTACAGCAGCATCTATTTGTCCATGTACGCCTGAAAATTCTTCTTCAGTACTCTTTGGGTAGTCTTTTTCCATTTTCCTTTTTCGTTCATCATAGCTGGAAGACATATTATTTTATAAATAAAAGTAATACAAAGTTTTTGTTGATTGTAGATGACAGTGTGATAGTCAGCTATATTTATCCAGGTCTGACTTATGACTTATTTTAGATGTCTGTCTGTCTTCCTGTCTGTCTCTCTCTGTACACACACATATACACACACTTATATATGAGTTTCTTAGCTAACTAAACAAAGCCTTTTATAGGGAGTTTTATTCATGGGGTTGGTGTACATACCCATGGAGAAAAGGTTGAACAAACAATGTATATGGAATTAATAAATGAATGTGAGAGCAATCAGTAAATAAGAATCATTAATAATCTGTAATAAGTGATTCTGTGATAAGTGATTCTGTAATAAGTGTAATAAGTGATTCTATAATCAGTAATAAGTGATTCTGTAAAGTGCCTTTTCAGTCAGTTTAATTGAATTTCACTACTTTTGTTTCCTGGAAAGAGTACATGACTGACCAAAGGGTAAATTAGCTTTCTTTTTCTGGATCAATATTAACACATCTTTTTGTGATCTAGTTATATCTTGTAAAGAAGACTGTAACTTGCATGAATCAACATGACTATATGAACTCATCATTAAGCAAAGATGACTCCTACCTCTTTGGTAAGACTTCATTTAACACATAAGAAAGTCCCTTCTTTGTTAGCACAGAGTTCCACATGGGGACATTCCCAGGTGCACACCTCATTCCTTTTCCACCCAAAGGTCAGATAATTTTTTTTCTGGGCTACTGGGTAGTTTCCTGTGGCAGCAGGTCACACCTGCCATCTCCTGAGATATGTTTTTCATATGGCTATGATTTCATAGGTCAGGGGACACAAATCTCATGATATTTAGCAGGAGTCAAACTTTGAGAAAGTATTCAGGCTGAAATTGACTAGGGCTCTTTTTTTTTTTGTTTGTTTTTGTTTTTTTTTTTGAGCTGCTTCTCAGAGTGTTAGGGTTAGGAATGGAAAGTAATTCCCCTAACATTTCAATATAGTTACTATAACATATTAATATTTTATTTAAACCTTCTATGTAGACATTAGGAAGTCAGGGGCCTACATACCTGACACAAGATTAACTACTCCTCAATTTATCAAATAAGAACATTGCTCAAACTATCAAAAACTATTACTATCTGTCTTCATTATGATTTCACAAAGAAGATAGACTTTATCATCAAAAAGGCGGAAAAGACATAAACTCAGAGTAAAAGACAGTTCTTGGCAACAGTCTGTCTCTATGCTCATACAGAACGTGCCAATCACATTTATAATATTGTGGTGTTGTTCTTATTTTGCCATGACCTGGTGAAAACTTTGAGGTGTCCTAGCCCTTTGTGGACAGATATTTGGGGATTTCTGTTTAGAACAGCAAGCACAACACATCATTTCAGATGGTTCTGGGTTTGAGTTTCTGATTCTGCTATTGGTTGGCTCTGTGATCAGGAGAATATGATCTGAACTTTGAAGCCTGGTTTTCTCATCAGGAAAATAGTGGCCATGAGGGCAATTTATATACACACATATCACATGCTTGGCTCATGTGGCACCCAGGACAGGTCCCACTCATAAGACCCTGTGGTTTATTTTGTCCCCAAGAACTATTAGCTCTGACTTGATAGTATGAGGTTGAATGAACTTTGAGATTTGATCTGGGATCCTAAGTCAACAATGAGTTTAATCTTTAATCTTTCTTTTGTGTTTCCTTTTAATCTTTAAACACACTTCATCAGATAAAATTTTGCAGTGCTAGACAAGGTTGAGAGGAAGTAGAAAAGAGAGGGCTAGAACATGTTGGAGATGGTCCAGAAAACCAGGTGAGGAAAAGCATCTACTGGTGTTGAGGATTTGGCCAAGATTATAAAAGAAAAGAAATTACCTGACAGATTAGAATCATGGGCATTTTAACTGACAATAAATAAATGGTGAAGAGAATTGAAGAATAAATATGTGTGGTAAATATATGTGTAAATATATGTGGTAAATTTAGATTTAAAGGGCATGAAATGTAGCTTCAGTTCAACTTTTTAGCTGTGTGATCATGAGCCAATTAGGTAACTTCCCTGAAACACATTTTTTTTAAGCTATTAAACAAAGCTAACAATATTTATTTCTTAATATTGTGGAGAAGGCAGATGGATGAGTGAGGTAATACAAGAGAATAGAAGAAAATACCTAGCAAGATTCCTGATACATGGTAAGATATCAATACATATTGGCTAAATCTGAATATTAAAGAAATATTTTTATTTATAACCTACTGTACATTAGGTAGTTGCTAAAATCATTGGATATATTTTCTTGTCTTTGAGGTCTTGTTTGTGAAGTCTAACTATCAAACTAAAAATATTGATTTGCAACTATATTTCCTTTATGAGCAATTTTTTTTTATCATTTAATGTTGATTAAAGGGTATAGATAGGGCCGGGGATCTAGCTCAGTGGTGCTGCCACCTGCCTAGCAAGTGCAAGGTCCCAAGTTTGATCCCCAGTACCAAAAAAAAGGGGGTATAGATAGTAAATAAATTGTTGCTCACTTAAACCAGTTAAAGTTTGTTAGTAATATCATAATGATATCTGATATTTTTCAGACATATTATCTCACTCTCCATATTTGTAATCTAAGGTTTTAGGGTTTTGGTAAACTGTATATTTGTTTAAACTAAAATACATGCTTAGAAATTAGATTTATTAGGCATTTTCAGTGTTTCAATTGTGATGATTTTCTATCATATGTCAATGGTCTGAATCCATTCTGCCTCCTTTGAAGGACTAAATGGAGAGCTGAGTCTGCTGAAGGACTAAAAGAGAATGTGAGAAAGGATGGCAATAAGGGGAACTTATTGATAAAGTATCTAAGATGTGTTCAGGAAGTTTCTTTAAGGTGATCCTTCTAGTCTGAATCAGGAGGGACAATGGAAAGAAAAACCTCAAATTCCCCCTTGAAGATAATAATCAATTCTAGCCAGGAATCACATGGCTTTCATGGAGGAAGGGGCTTTTGTGATCTACACTGAGGAAAGGTGGGGGCCAGGGTGATCCAGAATGAAAGTATTATATAGATAGCTAAATTAGGTAAAAATATTATAGGCAGTCAGATAGGGATAGGTCCTTGAGAGACTCAGGACAAAGCTAAAAACACATCACAGCTATGGCTGGAGACACATCTATTGGAGACCAGGGCTCATGATAAAGATGAAATGACCAGGCTTGCATACTTCCTCAAAAGATAAACACTGGGCCTAATGAAGTCTAGATAGACATTAATCACCCTGGTGGGTGACATAGACCTCTGGACCCATCATTTCCTACAAAAAATCTTTGTCCTTTCCATGCACCATTGCTATGAGACTTGTTTCCCCATTGGATCACTATTAAGTGACTATACTTGTAACCTTTGTACCCAAGTGAGTTTTGCTCTATAAAACTCCTCTGTAAAGTGGGGTCCCTGACTACCCATTCTGGTCCTCTCCTGGAGCTATCCTCTCAATAAATATTTTCCTACTCTTAACCTCCATTGTTCCTAGAATTCATTCTTCAATTTTTATTTATTTTTATTTTTAAATTTTTATTTATTTATGTTTTTGGTACTGGGGATCGAACTCGGGTCCTTGTGCTTGTGCAGCAGGTGACAAAACCACTGAGCTAAATCCCTGGCCCCTATTCAATTTTTAGAGAACATGAACTCAGCGTATCAGACAGCTAACAGATTGGGAGATATAATATTTTCATATTTCATCTCCTGTATCAAAAGAAAAACAGTAGAGTTGAGAAGAGGCCAGGTATCACCCCAGACAAGTCAGGAAATGAGATCCTGTGAAGAAAACAACTGTAAGGAGATTCTTGAACGAAGGATTTATAACAACATGGAAAAATATCTATGCTATAACACTGAGTGAAAAAAGGTCAGAATACAAAATTGTATTCTTAAATACTTAAAGATGATGAAAACTCTGGAGAAATAAAAAGAAGAAAACAATACTAAATTGCTATCAAAAGATGTTGCAAGCATTGACCACTAGGTAAATTTCTCTCCCTTTCTTATTTTCAATGTTTTCCATAACAAACTTCACATGCTGTCCTTGGACCCCTTCTTGATGGGCAGCCTCATATCTCAGGGGGACAGTTCTACCTGGTAGATGGTGAATTCTCAATTGATCTTTCCAGCCTGAGTTCTTTCTGAGCATAAGACCTCTATGTCCAGCTCTCTTCTGGACATTTTCTCTCATGGATCTCACCATCATGTCAAACTAGAACTGCCCAAAATAGAACTCCTTTTTATTTCCCTAATTCTGCAGTACTTCTTAAGTTTGATTATTTTGAAAAATGTCAGAATCTAAATCCAAGATATGACATCCAGGCTGGGGATATATGTCAGTGGAGATGTTGAGATATTGCTTAACACGTGTGAGGCCCTGAACTGTGTTCCTAGCATCACAAAACAAAATAAAACAGTATGTTAAAAAATGACCCCCAACTAGTCAATCACCAAGATCTAAGTTTCTTCCTGTGTGAAAAGCAGTCAAATCTATCCTTTACTGTCTAACTCATCATCTCTGGCAGGCTTATTGCAGTATATTTTTCTTCTCTCTTTTATTTAACAATTCAATTAAAAAACTATATTAGCAGAATCATGTTGTTATCAAAACAGTCCATTTTAGAACACTGCCATCACTCCAAAGAGAAAGCTTATGCCTTTTAGTTATTCATCTTCAACTTCCCCTCCTCATTGCCCATGCCTTTCCAGCCCATGCAGTCTTAGGCAATCACTAATTTACTTTTTGTCTCTGTCAACTTGTCTATTCTGGACATTTCATATAAATGGAATCATATGTGTTTTTTGTGATTGACTTTTTTCACTTAGGATAATCTTTCAGATTCATCAGTATTGTAGCATGTACCAGCACTTCATTTTTATGGCCACTGCATGATCTTACCACATTTTATATATTGATTCAACACGATGGAAATTGAGTTTTCCCACACCACTGGGCT